AACAACTTCTCACAGAAGCTGATTTCAAATGTCATGGAGGGGCATATACACCACTAACTGTTAGCAGGGTCTGGGATTGCACAGGCATATTACATATTATATGTAATTACATATTACATATACCACATAAAGCTCATTTGCCTGGTTATGCACGGGAGGCCATAGCTAATTTGATGATTCATTGTGTTGGGGTGTTTTATAAATAACTGCCATGAATTGGAGGGATACTCTCCAAGTGAGTTCTGCTCAGATCTCTGAAATGAAGTTTCATGGTACCTTCAGGAGCACAGTGCCCTAGCAGTCAGTTTCACTGTAGGTATTTTTATAGCATAATTACCAAGATAAAGAGTGGTTTACCACAGAAGCACATAGACCTCCTGTACCCAGCTGCCCACTTAATCTCTAAACTCAGTCTGTGTGAGGTTTATTCTTATGGGCAAAATAAGATCGACATTGCTTGTGAGAGAAGGTAACTCAGATTGGAGGGCCTTGACTTGAAACCAGAGGTAGGTTGGCCTGTCTGTTCTTCCAAAGACAGTATTGAATTGCATTCACTTGCACTGCCATGATTACAATATAGCACATATGTTACTTGACTGCTATGACTGTTTTCTACCCCTCCCCCATCCCTTTACTTTTTTAAAAAAGAGGTAGGGTCTTGATATAAAACCAAAGCTGGCTTTGTAATCGATGTTCTCTTGCTTTGGTCTCCTGAATGCTGAGATTATGTGTGTGCCACTGTGCCTGCTGCTGTTTGAAAATTTAATTGGCGTCCAATTACCATTATGATATTTTTATCCCTGAGTGGATCAATATGAATCATACATTTGGCAGTTTCTTAACACTAATCAATTACCTTTATCCTTTTTCTGGGCAAACTGTTACTCTATTGCACTTTATCAACAGCCAGGTTGATATTTCAATGCCAGGAATAAAAGTTTTTAAAACTGAGGTTTTCTAATGATTCTTGCTGCTTTGTCAAAGGTGTTGTACTGTTTGGTCTCTTCCCAGAAAACTGCACACCTATCTGCCCCATCAGGGTGGATTATGGCCAACTGTGCATCAATATGCAAAGGCCAGGTGATGTGCAGAGGGTGCTTAGGGTGGGTGGAACACGATGATCTCCTCAGTCTCTCTAGTCAGCAACATTTATTTTTCGTGTGTGTGTGTGTGTGTGTGTGTGTGTGTGTGTGTGTGTGTGTGTGTGTGTTTGCGCGCATGCTCAGGTTGAGTGCAGGTCCCCAAGGAGGCCAGTAGAGGACATCAGATTCTCTGGAGCTAGAGTTACAGGTGATTGTGAGCCTCCAGATAATGATGCCAGGACTGAACTTGGGTGTTCTGCAAGAGCAGGGAGTTCTCTTAACCACCGAGTCCAACTCTTAAAGATAGATTTAACTAGCGATCATCATCTTTCCAACTCTTTTAGATTTAAATGGGGACCATTTAAGAGAGTTTTTGGGTTGTTTTGGCTTTTAGTTTTTGTGAGACAGGGTTTCTCAGTAGCTTTGAAGACTATCCTGGAACTTGCTCTGTAGGCTGGCCTTGAACTCAAAGAGATCTGCCTGTCTGAGTGCTGGGACTAAAGGCATGCACCACCACCATCTAGCCTAAATGAATTTTTAATTGTATTTCTTTTTTCCTCCTGTTGGAGGAGTGATGCATTCATCACAGGTGAAATCTAAAGCTAGAGATAAACGTCACATGCCCAGGCTGGTGCCTAGAAGGTAGCTACTTGTATATTTACCTTTTGTTTCCTAAACAACTCAGAAATAAAAACTTTATCTTTAGTTTTCTGTTGTATTTACCAGAAGTTATCATAAATAGTAGGCTCTTAAACAGAGGTCACATGCCTTAACTCAGATACTTGGCCAGTTTTATAATCCCAGCATTTGAGAAGCTGAAGCAAAAAGATAAGATTACCATTAGTTTGAGGGCAGCCTGACATACATAGTAAGGTTCAGGCCAGCCTGGGCTATAGTGTAAGACCCTGCCTCAATAAAAATGGAACAAAACAAAAGCCACCAAAAAGTGAAAAAGAAGAAATTTGGTTTAGTTTCCTGTCATGACCAATGGCTATTCCTCCTAGATTGTTCACTCTGTCCTATGGTCTTTGTGGAAGTAAATTGACAAATAGAGTTTTAGTCTCAATTTTATTGGGGTTTGAGGTCGACCTGTTAGAACCAATTCCATAGAGTAATGTTTATCAAATTCTGTTAGCTAGAATACACTGGAATTGATTTAAAACTTAGCAAAAATGATCGTAATTTTTTGAGATGGTAGTTTAAAGCAAATAAATCAGAAATCTAATTATGAAGTTTTCAAGTTCCATAAGATTTGCACACAGAAAAATGTCTGATGTACATATTAACCCATGACATTTTTTAAAAATCTTCTCTTACAGATTCTGAAAACATTTGTATTTTGTAGAAATAAAAAGTATGATACTTTACACGTTTCATTTATTTAACTGAAGAAAATTTTTTAGAATGAGAATTCTACAGCAGAAAGTACAATTTCACATTAAGTTAAAAAAACAACAACAATAAAACCGATTTTATTTCCTAGAACGTAGTGTATGATACTAAGATTTAAACAGAGAAATCCTTGTTTACCGAGAGGACCAATGATAGTTCTTGCAAGAGATGCCCAGATGCAGCGCTGGAGGCAAACTATACCTTAATCCTGCATCTGGTACTATTGAGGGCAGGTAGTGAGACCTAGAAGTGACCGACGGGAACATCCTCAGCCTGTCCTAAGTGACATGAAAGAACAAGATGCAAGAAGCTGTGTCAGCAGAATCTTCGCATGATAGCAGTACTGTGAGAAGCAACTGGGAGAGCCCAATAACCCTGAATCCCAGGAGAGCCCCAGGGTTTGGTCTCCTATCTCTTACTTGCCATTGATGTAACTTCTTGGAGTTTCAGTTTTCTTCCCCGTGTGGGTGTGGAGAAAGTTTTAGTGTTAACGAAACAAATTGCCCTGAGTCGTCATTATTATGATTAGTTATCATTGGCTGTGCTATTGGGTTTTACAGTTTTGTAATGTTATGATTTTAAACAGACAAATTCTACTCTAATCTCTCATTCCTACTTCAGCTTTATATAAAAATTAGGGAAAGGAATGTTTAAGCCAGGCACTATGAATTTTGAAAAAAAAAATAGATTTGTTGCTCTAGAGCATAAAGAATCATTAATAAATATAATTTTCAACATATTGAAATCTTATTTATATAATTTTGAAGGTTTTTTTATTTGTTTGTTTTGTACTGGAAACTGATCCCAAGGCCTAGTTCATGCTAAGTAAGTACTCTACCACTCTCCCACACCTCTTTAAATGTTAATGATATGCCTTAACAAATATATTTTAAAAGTTGATTCAGAAAAATGTGTTTCAGGTTCTTCCTTGCTCCTATATGTAGCAGTTACTTGTGTTAATCCTTGGTGTATAGTAGTGAAGAATGCCAGTGTAGACTGAGGAAATCATTAAGGACTAAGGTCAGGTCAGCTGTGTGGCAATTCTCTGAACCGACCTAGTTTATGATCTTTATGGACTAAGGTCAGGTCAGCTGTGTGGCAATTCTCTGAACCGACCTAGTTTCTGTTAGACCCCCAGGAAGTGTCAACAGTCATATACTAGCTGGAGTTACAGCAAAGTAACATGATTGTAAATTGTACTGTACACACTGAAATTGGTCTTGCGAAGTCTAAGTAGAAACAGGGCATTATCAAGTAGTTGGTAAGTACAGTAACTTATTTCCATCATTTAAAGTCGTTACAGTTGCAGCTTAAGAGAGGTTGGGGTCCTAGGTTGGCAAAGTTCTTCATTCAGCGAGAGGGCCTAACCATGTAGGGTCCTGGGTTACTAAATTAATCCCTATGATTGCTTTCCTCACATGTATGGAACCTTCCTTCAAATGTAAAAGAATTTTTTTTTTAAATTACTTTACATAGTAACAGTTTTCCTTATGACTTTGTCATACATCCTTACTCTGGGTTGATGCCTACCGCTTCTTATGTAGTCACACTCCTGTATTCCCTCTTTTACCTTCATATTCCTACCAACCCCCACTCTGTTACAAATTTGAAGTGTTTTTATATAGGCTTGTGGTTACAGAGATGACCTATCCTGTGTTTCTGCTCCGAGGCGAAACTTCAACTGAAGGTTTTAGTATTGTGCATTTTATATGGCATATATTACATTGTCTGTCCTGTCCTACTTGCAAGCTGATATAAAAGTCCAATGATTTAGAGCTCATCAAATTAATCATAACACTGAAACATTTGAACTCTGATATTTTAACATATTTTCCTCTAAGTTTTAGCTACCATATTGAGACATCAGTAGGGATTTGTAAATAACTAAAGCTTCAGGATCTAGTATGTCAAGGTGAAGCCAGAGTTACCAATATGTTACTCAGACTAGGTTTAAACTCTTTTTTAATTTAAATTAGAAGCAATCGTATTTTACATATCAATCCCAGTTTCCTCTCCTTCCCATCCTCCTCTGCCCCCCACCAGTCCCCTGTCTCGACACCCCCACCTCCAGGTTTAACCTCTTAAAGCAGACTGGAGGGCAGCAGCAGGAAGAAATGGTTAAAATCTGATCACTTGATTGGAGGTCAAGGTCTGAGCTAAATTTCAGTCCCTCACCTGCTGTTCCATTAGCAGATTCAGTCTGCATCCAAGCTTTTCTGCACACTTAGCCTGGCCCCCACTATGACCTGGGATTGTTACAACTGCTTATGTCCACTCTCTTTTGTTATGTGTTGTAAGTAGGGCTGAGTTTCATTGAGTGGGAAAGAAGCCTGGAAGGATGGTGATAGCATCACAGAACCATGTGGGCCTTGCCCTCTGGAGTGGTTGGCATTGGTATTTTTAGCCTGCATTTCTGACCGAGGTATTTGTAAAAGTAGAAAATAATGCACACCTCTTTAAGTGGGTATGCTTTGTGCTTACTGTAATTTGTCATTTCATGAAAGTGTCCCCTTCTTTTGTTTTTAGATATAATACTTTGCCAAGCAGAAGAACCCTGAAAAATTCAAGATTAGTGAGTAAGAAAGATGATGTTCATGTCTGTATCATGTGTTTACGAGCCATCATGAATTATCAGGTATGTGTTGAATTATTAAGTGCTTGCTTCAATCCTTTAAAAGATTTCGATTTTTCTCTCTCTCTGTGTATGTGTATATGTTGGTGTTTGTGTGACTCTTTGAAGTGAAGATTGTGATTTAATGAGATTCTGCTTAGAAAAGTGATTCATTCTCATGCTCAATATTTAGTTCCTTGGCTGCATATAATTTATCACACAGTGAGACTGTATCTTACGTTACTTGGTAAAAGTTTGTTAGCACCACGGGAAGCAAGCCTGTACTTGTGAGTAAGAATGGACAGCTTTAGAACATCACTAGTGAGAGACTTGGGGCACTAGCTTATGTGGTGGTTGATCAAGAGGTTAGAGTTATTGTGTGTTAGCACCAGTGGTTCCTAATCTCCACAAGGAATATGGGGAACAATATCAAAAGTGCACATTCCTGCTTTAGATGGTTATACTGTGGGTTGATCTCAGTCTGGCAAATAGTATAGCATTATGAATTTGGTTAATCTTACAACACAGTGGAAATCAGTGCCTGAAGGATCTAGGGTAAATGAACAGGGCCATAACCTAAGTGGGATAAAAAGTTAAAAAAAAAAAAAAAAAAGGATTTGTATCTAGTGGAGACTAGATACATGAGGGTCCATGTTAGCATTCTAACCCAACCTTGGTGTGTAAGTGGAATGTAGGAAGGAAGCATGCTTTGATCTTTCCCCACCAATTAAAACTTTTCAGTGTTTCTACAGGTAGATGGTCTTCTAGTTCTGAGAATGCCGTAATCTATAGAAATGTATCAAGAGCTTGCTTTCCAGAGAATAAACATGGCAGGACTGCATTGATATAGTCTATAGCATTTCTGATCATAATGATGACAAATAGAACCAAAGCCAGCTAACTACATGGTATACTTCTTGGGTCTTTTATGTCTGCAAATTCATGCACCCACATATCCCTGTGAGACTGGTAGAGTTACCACCCATTTTACTTATGAGAAAACTGAGAAGTTAAGTAATATCCTCCACAATATATGGTTTATAAGTTGTACCAAGTTCGAATCCAAGTAGGCTTTGAACCCAGGGAATTATTATTGCTAAATACCACAGAAAAAGTAATGAGAAAAGGGATAGAAATGCCAAAAACGAATATGCAGTTTTAGATTGGCCACTAGGAGAGTGTCACTGAGGAGGCAGCAATTAGGAAAAGTAAGTGAACTCATTGAATAGAGCAAGGGTTATTAGAGAAAGAAGAGTCTAGGCAGGGGGAAGCCTGGAGCAGGAAAGGAAGTCTGGTTGGCTAGGGCAGAAGGAGTAAGGAAAAAAGAAGAGGAAAAGAGAGATAAAAGGGATTATGTAGAATTTTATAGGCCAGTGAAAGACTTGGCTTTGTTGCAATTAGAAAACTAGTAAGGCATTCTGAGGGCATAATGTGTCATTTGCTTTATAGGGATTGTTAGGACTTCTGTGTTTAGCATTAGCCTGTAGGTACAGGGGCAAGAGGAGGTTACTGGCAGTAACTGGATGAATATTGGTGATGGTATGGCTCAGAATTATAGGATGAGAGATGAGACAAGTGGCCAAGTTCTGGATCTCTTTGGATGGATGGTCGGGGCCACAACATTTGGTTATGCGTTGATGTGAGTAACCAAGGTGGTACCAAGAAAACAGTTTCATGGTTGGGGGTCACCACAACATGAGAAACTATAGTATTAAAGGGTCACAGTGTTAGGAAAGTTGTGAACCACTGACTCTAGAGTTTCCCTCTTATTGTGTGTTTTGAAAGACACTCCTATTAGGCCTTTGGCCTCCTACCCCTGCAACTTCTTGCCAAGATCACAATAGATAGCATACTTAGTTAAACCCCCTGGCTGGGCCTCATTCATCTTGCATGACTTACTAGTAGAATCAGACACAGCTTGCAGCATTTCCTCTGGCTGGCTTCTGCCCCCTTGGCTACTTCCCAGACTTTCTTCTTGGCTTTTCTCTCTCTCCAAAGCTTATATGGAGTGCCTTGTGGTTCATATTAGGGACCTCCTCTCCACCAGTATCATGATTTCCAATGCCATTTGATGCTAATTATGTTCAAATACATGTCCTACCCACACCTCCACTTCAGTATTCAGACTGGCTTATCTAAGCACCCACTTCAGATCACTATTTATATGTAAAATTGACATCTCAATTAAAATCTACCAAATTGACTTCCTAATGATCTCTTTGAAACCTGCTCATCCTGCAAACCAGTAGATGGCAACTTCATTTTACAGGCTATACCACCAGCCCAAGTGTTCGGTTTTTAATCAACACTGAAACTTAGCTACTTCATAACTGTCATTTTGCTACTGTTATGAATCATAATGTAAATATCTGATATGAAGGATATCTGATAGGTGACCCCCAAAGGGGTCGAGACCCCACAGGTTGAAAACAGCTCCTAGACCTTGAGTCTTTGAAGGGGCTGTGCTGTGAAGGCTAGCAGGGAAATGCAACGGTGTAGCTGAACACAGGTTCTGGTATCAGCTGAGGGTTCTCTTGCATGGTATGTATTCTAATGGTAATGAGTTAGTGGAGAAAGACAAATAAGCATGCAGAACTTTCTTTCTTTTTTTCTTTCTTTCTTTTTTTTTTTTTTTTTTGGATCTCAGGTAGACCAGTCTGGCTTTGAACTCTCGATTCTCTTGCCTGTACCACCCAAAGTGTTAGGGGTGTAGCTGTGTGCCTCCATGCTGGCTCATATCATCACATTCTTGAGTAGGTGAGAGAGAGTGAGGTCAGGGACTCAAGTGCAGGGGTCTGGCTTCCAATTGGAGCATAGAACTTTTTATCTCTGAGAGGATCAACATGCCAGGAGCTGTAGAAAGCTGTGGTTTAACTTTGGTTTTCTGCAGATAACACCCTGCTGTGTGGCCCATGTTGACCTCTAACATGTTGTTTTCCTGCCGCAACCTCAAAAGTTTTTCCCCCCCTCTTCTTACTTTCCTATTGTCCATTGATTGCATTTATTTTCTCAGTGTGAGAGGAAAAAGATGAGAGCTGTGTGTACATTCAGAAGAGATAGTATTTGCCCAGATTAGTAGAATCCAGATTCTTGATGTGGACTGGCTTGTTTGTAAGAGTGATAGGCAAGTGTGCATCAGAATGGCCATTGCCAGGATGGGGTCTGGGGGAGGGGAATGAAAAGCTGGGAGTGGTCAACCCTAGGTGGATGGTGGCGTCATCCTGGATGCTTGGCAAATTTAGATTTCAGGGCTTCATCTTTGAAATTCAGAGTAAACTGGTCTGGGAGAATCTTGGATATTCAACCGGGGCTTAGTTTTGTTTGGTCTTAATAGCGATTTTATGAGTATACAACTTTCAAATCACTAGAAGTAGAGCTTTTCATGAGTTTAATAAAGAAAACACATTGTTCATTCATAAATAAAGGAAGGATGCCCATGAGCAAAATAACCCTAGACAGTGGATGGCATCATTTAAGAGTCTGGTGGGAAGAAGTATGTTCTCTCACTGGCATGCTAAGATCTCAGTTGCCTTTCTAGAAGATAAGAGTTTCATGAAGCAGAAATGTCAGTGGAGTTTGGTAGTGTTGGGAACTGGATCTAGGGGCTCACACATGGGAGGCAGACTCTTCCACTGAGCTATACCACCAGCCCAAGTGTTTGTTTTTTAATCAACACTGAAATTGGCTGCTAATGCTTTCCCTTTCCCCTCTGCATTTCAGTATGGTTTCAATATGGTCATGTCTCATCCACATGCTGTCAATGAGATTGCACTCAGTTTGAACAACAAGAATCCCAGGTAAGCATCTTCTGTAATGTTCAAGTCCCAGGGAAACAGAGAGCGGGTCAACATTGATCCATTTTAGTAGTAAAAATCTCCCAAGAGTGGCTTCCTCAAGCTGGACTGACTGCAAACCCTTGGCTGTGCAGAATGTTCCCTTTGACCTAGTTAAACTCTTCTAGGAAGTAGAGTTGAGCACTGGTGAAGCTCTTGCCCTTCCCTCTTCTTTACCTTTCATTCCCTGGGTAACCCAGTTCTTTGAATCTATACTGAAAAATTTGATGGGCAGGAATAGGTTGCCAATTCATCCCAGCCATGAAGACCAGAAAATATTCCTAAGAGTGTAGCTACACCTGCTAACATGAAAGCTAAGCAGCCCACTGTACCCTTATTTATGTCTTTTGTTTCCTTGACACATGTAGCTTACTTAAGAACTGAAAAAGAAACACAAACACAAATGTGTGTGCATTATTTCCTTTTACATGTACAGTCAAGGCAAGGACACATATTGTAATCATTTGACTCATTATTTGCTTTTTGGTGTAGTAAGATATTATGTCTTCTGGTGGTTTTCTGCATTTCAATTGAGTAATACTCTAGCTTCAGATACCCTTTTAAGAATGGAAGAATTATCTAGAAACTATTAATTCCTCTTTAAAAAAAAAAGCCTCTTCTAAATTGACTCTTCTAATTTCAAAGGGAATACAAATTGTAAAGCCCCATATACATATTGGATATTTTAGTCTTGTGATTGCTTTTGTAGTTTTCTAAAATCCAAAATAATCATGCTTCCTTGTTCCTGGCCTTCTAGCACAGGGAAGTCATCATTCATTTTTCTTCAGACAAGCGACATTGTGGCACATCAGAACAGTCTTTGTTAAGAGGTTGGCAGTAGCTTTTATTCTAGAATAAAAAAGAAATACTAAAGTAGTCTTATGATGAAGAAACAATGCTGTTTCTTTCTTCACATTTTATTTGCAAACTTTGAATTCATCTCTAGCTTCTTCCAAAATGATTTCAGATGCAACTTTATTTTCTTGAGTCAGAGAAAATCTTTTTTCTATTAATACAGCTGTAACCTGGCACTTTCCTGGTCTCCAGCATAAGAAGCAGAAATGCTAGAAACTTATCGTGTGGGATTTTTACTGGCTCTGATTCTAAAAGTGAAATGCAAAGCATTACTTGCAGTTAATTCTGAATTCTGTCATGTTATATCCTATTGACAGTTAAAACTGGCCACCCCAACATTCTGTAGTCACTGCAAATTGCATACTTAGGAAGGTCCGTGTGTGCTTGGTGCCCTTCAGTGACTAAGATTTAATGAATGTGCGGGCCAGTGCTCAATTCCTTGAGTGTTCATCCTGGAAGGAGCAGCTGACTCATTATGTCTCCTTTTGTGATTTATGTTTTTCTTTCCTCTTGTTTTGACAGAACAAAAGCTCTTGTCTTGGAGCTGTTGGCAGCCGTTTGTCTTGTTAGAGGCGGGCATGAAATAATTTTATCAGCTTTTGATAACTTCAAGGAGGTAGGACGCACAGTTTGGATAAGAGTACACAAATGTCTCACATCTTTGAACAGAGCAATTTACCTTTTCATTGATTCTAGGATGAAGGAAGCATAAGTAGCTAATTTTCCTGAGGCGTTACCCGAGTTTTAGTTTAAGTGTCCTATGCGGCCTAATGAAGCTCTTTGGGTGTCTATTTCTATCTATTCACAGTATTCATTTCCTTTTGAGCATGGGGAACGGTCATTTGGCAAAGAGGCTTTGATATACACATACAATGAATTAAGGTTTATACAGTGTAAATTCCAGTAAACTTTATGAGCTCTTTTATATAATTCCCTTAAATCCTGTTTATTTTCATTGCTTTGCTGAATGCTATCTATGTAAACCCATCAAACCTGTCAAATAAGGACACCCATTATAGGATTTTTATAATCTTAACTGAGAGGTGCTATTATGCATGCTCAAACACCCCCCACAAACCTATTTTCCCACCCTTCTCTATTCCCCCACCCCCCCACACACAAAGAAGAAAGTTAAAACTGGGTGTGGAGGTACACAGACCTGCAATCCCAAGCACTGGGCAAGATGTGGGGGTGGGAGGCAGAGAAAATATAAAATGATTTGGCTACATAGTGAGTTCCTGGTTAGCTTGGGCTGCATGAGACTCTGATGTTCCCCCCAGCATGAAAAATACCCCAACAACAAAACAAGGGACATATTTGGTTGAAATAGAGAATGAGTGCTGGGACTGTGTGGTATCAGTGGTAGATGGTAAGTGGCATTTGCTAGCATGTACAAAGTCCTAGATTTGGGTTTCTGCACTTATGGGAGGAAAGGCTGATCTCAAAAACAGAGGCCATTAAACACAGGTAATGTGATTCAAGTGCGTCTGCTACGAAAATCTGAAGACATCTCTACCAAGGAAGTAGCCTGTTTTCCTTTGGCGTCATAGGCAATGCTGTAGCCAAGTAGACTGCCTGCCTGCCTGCCTCCTCCTATGCCACATCTCTGGCCACTTTAAGTGGGGAAAAGTACAAACAGCCCTGAGAGAATGTTGAAGGCACTCAGAGCATCAGGTTGATAGGCTACTTAGCTAAGGTATGCGTTAGCCTGGCAATACTATTTAATTCCAAATAGTTCTGCATTAAGACTCAAGCTAGTTAGGTTTAGTGGTAGAAGCCTTTAATCCCAGCACTTGGGAGGCAGAAGCTGGTGGATCTCTGGGATTTCTAGGGCAGTGTAGTCTGTATGGTGAGTTCCAGAACAGTCAGGGCAGTATAGAGACATAAGATCTCAATCAATCAATCAATCAATCAATCAATCAATCAATCAATCAGTCAACAAGATCTCAATCAATCAATCAGTCAATCAATCAATCAATCAATCAATCAGTCAACCAACCTTCAAGCCAAGCTGGTTTAAATATGGTTCCCGAGGGACTTCCATAGGTGCTCTGTCATCTTTACTGAATATGTCTGGAAAACGATGACAAAATGTGTCTTGAGCACCAACTGTACACCAGTGCAGAACTAGCTACAGACACTTCTTCAGTGCTGTAGTTTCATAGAGGACTTTCAGGTAGCAACATGGGCAGCTCAGTCAGTGGACATACTAGGCTCAACATTTGTTCTAATTCTTAGATGTCTGTCCTGAGGAAAATAAAGGGAATGCAGAATTTGACAGGAATTCGAGCTATCCTCCCAACTGCCTTGAAAGAGGGGATGGGGTGTTGTGATTCTGTGATGGCTGGGGATCTCTTAACCTGTGAGCAGTGGGCTTTGGCCAGTTGCTCCCTATCTAGCCAGTGTTTAATGATTCTGATGCATATCTTTGCTGTAATGCTCATCAGGGAGACAATCGAATAATAATACCTTTAAAACTTATTCCCTTAAAAATGCCTCAGTGGTAGTGAAATCATTCCTGAGTCCTGAGAAGATAATGAATAATAGGGAATCTTTATGTTCACATCTGACTTCCAAAAGAAAGGAAATGTATAAATGCTTGTCTGTGAGTCTATATTTTATATGTGACATATAATAAGGAGGTACATTTGGGAGAATATCTTTTATTAAGAATTTATTTATTTATTATGTATGCAACATTCTGCTCCCATGTATATCTGCACACCAGAAGAGGGCACCAGATCTCATAACGGATGGTTGTGAGCCACCATGTGGTTGCTGGGAATTAAACTCAGGACCTTTGGAAGAGCAACTAGTGCTCTTAACCTTTGAGCCATCTCTCTAGCCCCAGGAGGATGTCTTTAAAATACAAGGTAAATAGCATATATTGCTTATATAACCCCCAAATCCTTACCATGAGGCCACACTTAAAAATATCACAGGCTATATCTCAATATCATATTGAGACTATCAAATGCCAAATCTTGTCTTCACTGGAAACATTTACCACACATTTATTCATGACCATAATTATAATAGATCTCAGATCCTGTAATATAACTTTAATAACCATTTGATTATACTGTAAGCAAAATTATATGTTAAAATTGTATCAATTTGAAGTAATACTCTCTATTTAGGAGATTTTAATTTTGTTTTCTCATACTTATTCATAGGAGACACACAGATACATACAGAATCGAGTCAGATCTTCCTATGTCAAAATTGTGTGTGTTTCAGCTATTTAAGGGATACACCTACTTAGTTGAAGTAAAAGGTACTCCTAAGTCCAGTCACTGACAGGTAGTGTTGCAGGATGCCTGGACAGGGTTTTGTTTAGTGGATAACATGCATGGAGTCACCTATGGCAGAGAGTACCATACCACACCAGGGGCCATTCACCTTTAGTATGTAGCAGATATTATCCCCCACCCCCACCCCGAGCTACCATGTTTATTCTGCCTAATTTGACCAGCTGTAGAAGTTACCACAAATGTAAAGTGAAGTAAAAATGATTTTGGTTCTTGATACTTATGATCACTTATTTCTTATGGTTCAGTTAATGTTAAAGATACCAACAATATTGTTCCTTTTTATTTTTTATTGTAAGTGTGTGTATGTGAGAGCTAGATCAAGAGAATAGGAGGACAGGGATGGGGGAGAGATCAAACCAATACTTACATCGTGGTAGGCATGTGAATGTCAGAGGATAACCTATGGTTCCAGCTGTTGACCTCAGTTACCAGACTTGCATTGCAAATACTTTGACCCACCATCTTGCTTGTCCTCATTTTGTTTTCAAAGAAGTCTTGCCCTGAGTGTTTTCACATCCTCTCTCTCTCTCTCTCTCTCTCTCTCTCTCTCTCTCTCTCTCTCTCTCTCTCTCATCTTCTCTGGCACTCGCTCTGTAGCCCAGCCTAGCCTCGAACTCACAGAGATCTGCCTGCCTCTGCCTCCTGAGTGCCGGCATTAAAGGGGTGTGCCACCACTGCCCAGCTGTGGTCTCACATCTGAAGTATGTGTTTAGGGATAGGAAGCACACTGTTTAATGGAATCTGAAGGATATTAACCCAGTTTTCTAGGATATTGTTTATTGTGGTGAGGTTGGATCTAAGGCTGAGATTACTAAGCAAGGGCATGTATTACCTCAGTGTGTATGATGCTGAGTGAGTTATAGTGATATAACTTCAGATGGCAGCTTGTTCCTGAAACAAGAGTGTGAATGGTTGAAGACGACATCATTAATAGGCAACCACTGTTCTCAAATTTTTTTCTCTAAGAACAATTAAATAAAAGGAATTAATACATCTGGTTTGGGTGTTGAAGTGTCTCCTCATGGAAATTTATGCTCCTGAAATGAGGCCCAGGGTGAGAACAAGGGGCCATCTGTTTTTCCTTATTGATTCATTTAGCCATATGCAAAGGCAATCATCTTCTCCAAGTTCATTTTTAGTTGCATGGCTGTATACACTTTTGAGCATTAAATCTGTGAGACAGAAAGAAACACTTGGAATTTCAGGAGCACTCTTGGTGTTTGTCATAGTTCAGGATCTTACTTGTAAGAAGCAGAATCTTACTCTAACATACTGAAGAGAGGGGAGATGAAGAAGGTCAAGAAACCAGAGACATGAGAAAGCCTGGAGAACAGCCTTAGAGGACAGATAAGCATGCTGATGTGGACTGCCTGTGGCAAGCCTGTGGATGCTTCCTGAGCTGCCCTCAGGCCTGTTTGGAGTTCTGGTCATGGGCTCATAAAACCATGCCTACTGTGTAGGGTCTTGACCAATCCTCACTGTAGATTCAGAAAGTTTCTAGTTCAGTTTCCCACAAGTTTTTAACCTGGACCTCGTTCACCACCTTTTCCTTAACTTCCTCCTTTTGTTATATTCTTGGCTATAGTTGAGAAAATGCCCTACTTTAAAAGGCACTTTCAAAATGTGGCAAAGAAAGCTTCCATTTGGAAGCCCAGAGGACTGTGATAGAGCAGCCTGCTGTAACACCATTGCTAAAACCTGAGGGTTTTGAGCCACTAGCTCTCCCAGGCTGCTGGAAGGTGTCCCTGGACTTCTTCAGGATTCCATATCAGTTGTAACTGTTTTCATCTGCTTCTATAATGACAACATCTGGCTTGAGCAAAAAAAGCCCCAGTTTGGTTAGTAAAGGCCCTACCCCCTCCACTTCTGAATGTTTAGTGTAGACACACAGAACCCTCTAAAATGAGTCACTCAAGGCCACTGGCTCTCTTGTATGCAAGACTTTTGGCAGTTCCCATTATCCCCCTCTGTATGCTAGAAGACTTCCTAAGAAGACTGATGTGGTTTAGCCACTGGGCATCTGAAAGCACTTATACTATGCATTATTAAGTTGATTGAAGAAAGCCTCTTGTCTTAGGGTTTCTATTGCTCTGAAGAGACACCATGACCACAGCAACTCTTACAAAGGAAAACATTTAATTGGAGCTGGCTTACAGTTTCAGAAGTTTAGTCTGTTATCATCATGGCAGGAAACATGGTGTTGTGCTGGCAAACATAGTGCTGGAGAGGTAGCTGGGAGTTCTACATCTTGATCCACAGGCAGCAGAGGGATAATGTGTGCCACATTGGGCATAACTTGAGC